TAAAAATAATTTTCAATTGTGCATATTGAAAAAAAAAAAAAATTTTTTTTTTTCAAAACAACAAATCTTATGTATACTTAGAAAAGTCTATTTTGCGTTGTAAGCTGCCACGAGAAAGGTGAGCATAACCTAACTGAAAGGCATTTCTTACAGTTTATCTGGTTCTTAAATGAGTTTGAAATCAATTTTAATGCGATAATATTTTAATTTTTCTTATAAATTATATGTATATTTAAAGCACTCATTCGTCTTCCTTTCAAGATCAGTATTCGTTTCCATAATCAAACCTTGTATATCTAACTTTTGCAAATTTCCCAAATATGTCGCACTTCATTCATTGAAACGTTTAACCAACGCACGTTCAATTATCATCTATCGTTGGTATCGGTAGTCATCGTTGAAAAAATTGGCAATTCTATGTCATAATTTAAATTGACTGTCAGTTTAATGGCTTTGACGATAAGGTGCTCACTAGAGGCGAGCGTAATGTAGCACATTCATGTAGAAGTGGCGAAAAAGCGTACTAAATAAATTAATAATTGCTTAACAAATTTACTCGTCATTCACAATTATTCTGAAAAATCCTAAGAACCATTTTAAAATTCACATTCTTTTCTCTACAACAAACAAAAAGGACTTTAATTTTTGTCTGTTTATCTTTAGCCATAAAAATAGCTGATATTGTACTTATGTACCTATACCCCTGTTTAGCTATGAAGTCTCACGTTGCGCATCGTATTTATATTTATCTATTACCTACCCCTTATCGCTTCCGGTTTGCACGAAAAACCCATTGAAATAATTATTTAGCTACTTAACCTCACTTTTAGTATCTATTTTTAACAAACTGATTATAAGCATGAGCACGTTTTCTAATTAAATTAACGAGTAGGTTTTATTATCAAAGAAGTTACTTCAAGTCGTTGTAACCAAATATACTCGTATTTATTAAATTTATATAACTGTTTTTATGTTGCTCTATATATTGAATCTTAAAATTGATTTCTGAATATGATAATTAAAATATTAATATTTAATTTAATTTAAATGGAGTTTTTGGAATTGTTTTTAGTAAAAGAGGAGAAATATCAAGCTTTTACACTTATTAATAATAACATTTTTGTTAATTCCATCATAATGTCTTCCCTTAATCGTTTATAATTGGTAGCATAAAAAACTACCCTTAAGCATTTTTCATTGGATTCAGTTTTGAAAAATTGCTTATAAAAATTAGAAAATCACAAAAGGATTTCAATCGCATTTGGCTCTAAACACCTTCTAAACGAAAGAGTTAACTGATCGTCCGCGATCTACCAAGGAAGCCGCGCTTTTACTCAAGAAAAAATTACCTAAGTGTGGCTAACATTTATAAAATATTGGAGATATCAAAGGCTATTAAACGACGATGCGAATCGATTCAGACATGTCTGTCTCTCCCTCCGTCTGTCTCACATGCAGTGAGTGTTCAAGATAACTCAAGTAAAGCTTGAAATGTAGCTTGGTCAGCAAATTCATTAGATCACAAGTACCCCTTTAACGGTAATTTTTAAAAGGGCAAAAACCATGATTAATCTATAATTAAATGTGCAATTAAAGATGTATTTGTTAGAGTCGATGGTATTAGATGGAGGCATATGTGTCAGCTGGATAAAACTTTCGGCTGGGCACGGCACAACAAGAACATTGACATGGTGTTGAATTCTACAATATTGTCTACTTATAAATAACACCTTTGGCAGATGCGAACCACAGCTACATTCTACATAACGGACATTTCAATCAACAGAACTCAAACACACTTTTTGGTTATGCTACTTTTAAAGGGCATTTGTGCTTATTACAAATATTATAGATTTCAACAGATTATCTAATGTTCGGTTCCAACCGAACTCGGCCTTCCTTACTTGTTAAAAATAAGTTTCCCTAATCATGTAGTATCATTAACTAACACTTCAAAAAAGCTCACGTTCCGTTCTTTTTGATATTAAGATAGTCTTCTTATTGTTTCACTTTAAAAATAATTTTCAATTGTGCATATTGAAAAAAAAAACAAAATNAAAGCTCACGTTCCGTTCTTTTTTTGATATTAAGATAGTCTTCTTATTGTTTCACTTTAAAAATAATTTTCAATTGTGCATATTGAAAAAAAAAACAATTTTTTTATCAAAACAACAAATCTTATGTAAGCATAAACCAACTAAAAGGCATTTCTTGCAGTTTATCTGGTTCTTATATGAGTTTGAAATCAATTTTAATGCGATAATATTTTCATTTTTCTTATAAATTATTTGTATATTCAAAGCACTCATTCGTCTTCCTTTCAAGATCAGTATTCGTTTCCATAATCAAACCTTTTATAAGTGGCTATAGCTGTGCCGATACACTTCGGCAAAGTGGTTTTTTCTGCTTCACCTGGAAGGTGTTGCCAAAAATGAATGAAGTCAGAAGTTAAAAATAGCTCAAATTCCAACTCACTCAAACCTAATTAATAAATAAATTGATAGAAATAGAGAGTTGCATGAATTTATTTTAAGCAAGAAGTGAAAAAAAAACATTTAAGTAAAAAATATTAATTTAATGTAAATAATATAATTTTATGTGGCGCGCAAAATTTAAGCAAATTTTTTTCAACTATTTCTTTTTACTCTCTAAAAATATTTTTTAATTTTTTATCTGAGTCAATTAAGCATTATTAGAAATTTCCTTCGAACTAATCTACGCTCTGCTCATCTTTTCTTTATAAATATCAATTCATTGAGTTCCACAATCAATTATATATCAAAATATTTTTTTTTAATTAATTTATCACTTTTTATTAATCAGAGGAGTTGTCTGCTTCACTTGTGGCTTCACTCATCCCTTAATGAAGCGCCAACTTTCACGCTTATCTGTCACATACGCACGCTTCGAAATATTCACATTCCTTCATTTCAATTATTATAAAGCTCAATATGTTAATAACTATGTGTACCATATTTATTTATAATATATTTATCTTACACGCTTGTCGCTCAAGAGAGCAGATGACTCACTCGTTGTATCAAGCATTACTTGAAGTGAGGTGGTAAATAATATACATACTATACATAAAAGAATATATCTATGTATATATTTATTTTAAATATAATACCTTCACTTTGAGTTTATAAGAGCTGCACGTTATGATTAATATATATTTCTAAAAAAAAATGATAAAAGATTAAGATAAATATTGTGCTTTATTTAATTGGCGGTCGAGGGCGCACTAAAACGATACTATATTACAACTATATTTTTTAATTTAATATATTTATTAATTATTTTCTGCATTAATAGGTTAAAGGGCCCCACAACAATTAAGATTATTTATTTATAGATTTCTAATTAATATTATTCGTTTAGTAAGAAATAAAAAAAAGCAAATGCGAATATTTGTCTACGAATATACGAGTATGGTGAAATTTTTAATGCTTATATTTGCTTAGACATGTTTACGAATTGCGAGTGTGCTTAAGTATTTCCATGCAGATAAGTTCCCATTGCCCCACGAATTATCAATCTTTTATCTAAATACATAATTGCTTATTTTTTAAGAATTTCTCTACTATTGTAAATTAAGTGTTGCAGAGATTGATTTTTTGTTAGATTTTTAGAAGCGAAACACAATTAAAGATATTTTCTTTTATTGCTTTAGTTATAAACATGAATATAATAAAAATAAAAATAAGTTATTACTATATTTTAGTCAGTTATTCTAGAGATTATAGAAAAATAACTGTATGAAAAATACTCAGCAAAAGCTTTTTTTCAAAAGAAATAAAGTCACACCCTATACCAAATGGTTCCCCTCGCGTAATGATATCTACTACTAAGCTAAAATCTGATAGTATTTAAGTGGATTTTATATAGATTTATTACATACAAGAAAATATGCAAACATACATACGAGTACATACTGGATTGTATATATTTTTGTACAATAACAGGTGAACAAGTTTAAGTGTAAGAGTGAAAAGGTGAGCTGAAAATACAATAAAGCCTGTGTTGTATCAACAGAAAGTTCAAGGAAAATGCATAAAATTATACGTCAAATATCTAATAAACTAGTTTAATATTGATTCTTTAATAACTAATTTAATACTAACTTATTTAAAACTAGTTAAAAACTAGTTAATTTATAACTAACTTTTAACTAGTAAAAAATGTGTAATACAAATTAAAAATAACACTTTGAGCGTTAGTTGGAACAAACCCTCAGCATTTGCATTTAAAAAATTCAGAATTTATACATGTAATAACATAAATACGGAAAAAATAAATTTAAAAGGAAACTATCAAGTTTGGAGCAATAACTCAACTAAGTACTTTTACTGAGACAATTTAATTAACTATACATCTTCTTTGACACACACCTAGATACATATCTGTGTGCTCTGTAAGTAATCGTAAAAACAGATAATAAAAAAAGTCAGCAAATAATGTGAGCAGTAAAAGTACAAAACACAAAAGGCAACAAAATAACCTTTTCTATGATTACGTATACGCCGCGTCATCTCCGCACAGAAATTCTAAAGCACAATTGGTAAATATTTCTTTAGAGCGATTTTTCATTATAACCAAACAAGTTGACCAGTTAAAGCGGTACATTGCTTTCAAAAAAAAAAATTAATATTGATTAATACGTACAAACAAATATATTTACCAACAAACACACACACACAAATACAAACGAAGAGCAAAACTCGTTGGCATACGTATAACTCGTGTGCATTGTCATTTTATTGCCAATTTTATTATCTTACTAAACTGTTTACTCCATGGCTGAGTATCTTTCGGAAATGAATATTCAACAATTTAAACGACAACAACAACAGCGTATGAAAAGAATAATAACACCAACATGACAAGCAACTGTCTACAACAACTTTATCAATTTTTCTTGAAGAGTTACTGTCGCAAATCGAGATATGTACAAGTATATATTTTTCATTTAAATTTCGCGAAATGTCGCTAATATTTGGCATTTATCGTTTGGCCATTAAACGAGAAGGAACACAAAACTCAAATACAAACTAAACTCAGTTGAAGGTGTAAATAAAAAAAAACCTTAAACGTGCTTATATGTATGCAATACAAACATACATACAGCAAACACTTCAGCTGATGGAGAGTATTTGATTTGTTAAGCGCTTTAAATTGTTTCAAGTTGAAGAACAAACCGATAAATTGTTAATAAAAAAATTGATATAAGTAAATAAAACACTTGAACGCCAACAGAATTGGTTTACTAACGAATTGAATTTATTTTGTGATACTAATAAAAATTTTAGCCATAAGTTGTATAGAGTAAATAAAACTTAACAATATATATTGAAATAAAATAAAAACGTGCGCGCAGACTACGTCTCGACGATTGCAATTCCTTCGTATCCTCTTGATACCATCGCCGGCAAATGATGCAACTTTACAGCAGCTGATAAAAGTGAGTGCAAAAAATCATATATAAACGTTTTAGTAGCTTAAAATAATGCATTTATTGATAACTTCAATATCTTTGTGAAAATTTTCCAAAATCAAATTATTATATATATAAAATTAATTTAAATAAAACTATTTATAAAAAACCAAATAAATAAAAATTAAATTAAATAAAGTAAAAAAAATAAATTAGAATTTATAAAATTAATTTAATAAATTTACAATAAACTGAATAAAATTAATTAATATACAATAAAATAAAGCGAAACGGCACACGGAGTAGCCAAATGATTAGCGTTCCATTCAAATATTCGAATGGCCAGCGTTCGAGTCCTGGTCAGACCAACAACCAAACTAAAATATCCTCACAAAAGTCCATCGAAAATCGGAAGCATCTAAGAACAAATTGTTGGTCCCTTCATTTTGTTGGAAAAACATCAACGCCACACAAATTGGATTGAAACTTCATAAACTATAACACAATTAAATGAAATTATATTAAATCAAATAAAATACAAGCAAACAGATATCAAAAAATAATGTAAAATAAAACAAAATCAAGCAAAATGAAATAAAATAAAATAAAATGGAATAATAAAAAAGGACGTGAAATTGAATAAAATTATATTAAATGAAATAAAATAGAATTAAATTAAATAAAACAAAATAAAAATTAAACATATAGATTATATTATAAAATAAAATGTAATAAAATTCAATGAAGCAAAACAAAATAAATTAGGCAAAATCAAATGAAATAATTAGAAATTTAAACATAGCAAGAAAAGGTTGTCGTCTTAAAATTTAGGTGTAAAAAATTAAATTAAATTTTTATGAGTTCTCAAGGCAATTCGTTGTAGCAGCTGGGAACTATTTCGTCTCTTATCTAATAAATTTATTATTCTGACTAACGGTACTTTTTTTTTAAATTTCATTTGCAATTATTTACTGTTGATATTTTTTATTTAACAATTCAGCAGATATAAAATTTTACTTTTTTTTTTGAAATTAGGCTAAAATTAGATAGCAAGCGATAATTTGATTTTATTTAATATAAACATAATTCGCTCACTAAAACTTATACAAAAAACAGAATTCCTTAATGAAATACTTACTAACATCTGTTAAGCTGAGCAATTATCTGTCTGGGCCAGATGTAAAGCATGACGGCCTGGCTGTGAAACTCCGAGTAATATTTTTAATTAAACATTAGCTAGATTTATTGTAATATAGTAAATAGTTATGAGAGTAGTCAGCTGTCAGTTCAAATTAATACACATTAATATTGCATTACTTACTAACTAACTCATTAACTACGATTACTAAATACCCACAACTAGTATTTTGTATTAAATTAATAAAGAATTTATTAAACTATACTTATTATATGATATTTCACACATTTATTAAATGCATTTTCCTAAATAACAGGCATGTTGTTCAGCCAGCTGTACTTAGCTTCCTCTAGTACACTCTGCGCTAGCTAAAAATTTTCCTAATAGTAAATTTTTTAATTAAATTAATTTATTTAAACGGTGCCTGGCACCCGCAAGTTGCAATGAGGTAATTTATGAAGTTGTAAAAAATGATTCGTTTAGTTTTATGACTATTGTGAATGGTGGAAAAATTACATGTAAAGCTTTCACTGATGATGTATCGTAAACTGATTGAGATTATCTTTGTGCTTTTTATTCAATTAACAAGAAATTGGAAATTGGAAACTACTTTAAGTATAAAATTGACTTTGTCATATAAACTCACCAATAACACAAACAAATCAAAATCATAAAATTGTACAAATGAAAATGTGATTTATTACACAAATTTCAATAAAAAAAAATCATATTCATGTGCAATCAAACAAATTTCCACGCGTGCCGATGAGCGATTGTGAAATAATATTGATAAATAACTATATAATAACCTTTCATAAAACCATATCAAGCAAAAATACTTAACTTCAGCTTAATTGCCAGGCAGAAAATGTAACTAAACGAATTTTATCGGTGAATGGTCGCTGTTACACTCGGAGAGAAATAAATACTTGACAATTTTTATTATGCCTGTCTCGCTGACTATTCTGTAATAAAGCAATAAAATGTTGCCAATAAAAAAAATTGAACCATAAATACTATAGTTACTACACTGTTCCCCACTGTATTAACTGCAAAGCACACACAAATACGAATCACTGCTGATCCTCAATGAATCTGCACACAATTAAAGTTTAGTATATACGTGTATGTATTTATGTATGTATGTGTGTATATTTTACGATTGGGATTTTTCTTCATTTTGCAAGTTGTATTGAGGTTTATCAAAGTGGTTAGTAGCTTATCAATCCCAGCAGAGGGCAATTACAAAAAAAAGATAATGGTGTTTAATTATGTAAAAATGTGTATGTGATATTTAATTTGTATGCATGTACATAATTCTAATGTTTATAAATATTCCAGAGATTAAGCAAAGTACTCAAAAAATAACGAATACACACAAATGTGAATATATCTATGTATATACCTACATATATCATTTTAACTTGTTATGGAAAAAACCCTTCGGCATAGAGCTTTTTCGTATGTGAAAGCATTAGAATCGGTTTAGATTGAGTCGATTTCAATTTTTGGTTATTATTATATTTTTTGTTTTTGGTGTTTGGTTCTTAAAAACTCTTACTTTTTCTCAAATAAATTTAAAGTGTCCTTTAGTATTATTAAAATGTCAAATACGTGCAAAAAATAAATGGTAATTAGTAAAAAAGCAAATTTATTAGAAGTTTATTTAAACAACAAGTCAATAAAATAATTAAAAAGAAAAAAATAAAAATTAAAGAACTTCAAAAATATGCAACACCGACAAAATTAAAAGTTAATCAAATTAGAAATTATAGTAAATTTAGTGAAAATCGTATCCAAACATAGAAAAATTAAACTGTGACAAAATTAACAAATTTATCCATAAAAATAATAAACACTTGGGAAAAATTAAAAAAAAATTTCATTTCGAAAAGAACATCATTTAATTGTTGTTATTAATTAATAATATTACGAAAAATAGTATATATAATTATAATCATTTTCATTTAATATAAAAATGTAATATAATACTTATATTGTAGCGTGAATACCCACAAGAATTGCAGTACTATTTTATAGCTCTTTTTGAATTGACTTTGAAGTGGTCTGATATAGTTAATTAATTTTCAGCATCGAACTTGACTTAATATAATTAAATTTTTGACATTCGAGTACTCAACTTTTTCAAGATTAAAGATTAGTAAGTTGCTAAAACAACAAAATTCACTTTTTTCACCTACGTACTTATACATATTTATACTCGTATGTCGACTTCAAAAAGATTTTGCAGCGTAAAGCCATTTGAATCAAAAACATTTTTTTTTTTTATTAAAAATTTAAAAGAGTAATAAATTACAATCACAAAACAAGCACAAGCTACTAGGCTATCGGCTTAGCAAATAAAAATACGTTTGTTCCTTCTATTTGCCTGTATGCTCACTCCCTGTTTGCGCCAATTCTTTGCCAATTGTGAAACCGAAATTGCTGCATAAAATCAAGAAGCGCTTTTTAGCTTATGCAAGAGGAGCACAAGCTGGTCGCTTTACTCATATGCTCAATCAAAAATATTATTTACTTTTATTTCAATGAAAAAAAAAACCATGCACCTTTGCAATTAAAGCCTCTACAGGAGAAGTCAATAAAGCTAATTACAATATTTCAAAAAAAAAAAATATTAATGCAATCCTGCACTTTTTTATTCAATGAACATTGCAACGCGATAAAATTATTATTATTATTAAGAAATAACAACACGTGTAAGCTACTAAGTACATTTTTCAAAAACATAATAAACTTTAATTACATCATATTGCCTGTGTAGTTGTAGTTACAATTAAATACATATATACTTTATTAAAATTTGTGTAAATGAAATGCTTGAGAAGCGTTTGTAGAAAATATTAAAATTTTATATTTTTTCTCATTTCAATTTTCCCATCTCTTATCGACACAGTTACAACTACAAAACTCTAAGTGTATAATGCAATTAAAATTATTACAACAGGTGCTTGGAAGTGAAGAGCAATTTAATGAAATGAAAATTTATAAGTGAAATAATTGAAGATATATGTACCTATATATACACGTTATATAAAAGCTGATTTTTTTCTTTTTTTTTTTTGTTAAAAGTTAAAACAAGGAATCTGGTGTAGAGCTAAGATTCGAAAAATATATTTGGCTTCCGCAAAATCTATGTTAAATGACGAATCCTGCAAAACAACAAAATTTGTTTCTTTTAGTTTTTTAGACTTTTTCTCAAAATTACGTAATTAAATAAAAATTAAATTTATATTTCTGTTAATTTTTTCTTTTATCATTTTTATTTTTTAATTTTAAATAAGGCTTTGCCTTTGTAATATCTATAAGTATTGCTGACATTTTATAAATAATTTTTTTTTGAAAATAATTAGTATCATAAATATTCAAAATGCGTTTTAATTCACACACAATGTGAATGGCTTATGTATACGCCACGTCGCCGCCTCCATATCTATCTCACTGTTTTTAACTTGTATATATTTATGTATATAAAATCTAACGACGATAGCGAAAATTTTACTGAATAGCTAAAAGCATATATCACGAGAAAACCTAAACAATTTTATATTTTTTTTTTTCTGATAAAGTATGAAACAGAATTTCATAGAGTAAATTTTTTAGTTTAATTAATATTGTAAAAAAATTTGTTGGTATAATGGCAATGAAAATAAGTATTTTTCTCTATAAACTGCAAATATAACCTCCAAAAAGCCTCTCCCGAGGCGTACGAATATTTTTCATAATATTTAGAATCAATATATTTTCTGATATATATTTTTTCTTATGTTGCAAAAATTTATTTTTATTACGTTCTTAACATTATTTTATTAAAAAATTGCTAAAAAACGAGATTTATAAATTGTATTATTAACTTTTTATAAATATAATT